TCGGAGAGTTTTCAGCAACCTTGTGAGTAGTTTCGTATAGCATATTCTGACTGCTAGTACATTAGCACAGCTGAAATGTTTAGCAAAGTTTAATCAAGGCGTCTGCCCATGGAAGGTTGATGAACGGAACATCTATTGCTTTGAATTAATTCGGCTGAATCCGTCCTTTTTTGTCCATCAATTACTTGGGTTTAGGTTTTCAATGGCAGATGCACAACCGGATCTTGCGTGTTGGCGCTAGCTGATGTGATTCTACCCGAGTCAGTCTCCCCAACGGGCTAATGGGCATGCCACAATAGCCCAATGCGCAGTGGACTTACGAACGCACTTTTAAGGAGACTGGTCGGTCATTGAAAATGCTAAAAAAAAGCACAACCACTTTCTTATCAGTAGTGTCGGAATAGTGCGGCGGATCCTGAAGCAAACGTCGAAAGTGATGTGGGGATGAGTTGGTAAAAGACTGACGGAAAGAGTTGAAAAAATTGGATTTTTAGGATTGGTTCAATCCAGGGTGACAGGTCTTCCGTCCAACTTGTTCTACAACAGTCTGTGGTCTGACCAGACACTCAGAGGGTGATTCCTACACTAAGTTATCATTTTAACTTTACTACTGTTAAGCATACTTCTCGTGATATAAACATCTTCCTCGATGTGTTTGTTATAAGTGGCGCCGTCTATCCTGCATGAGATTCATCGTGCTGCATGCCTTAGTGATAAATTCTTCGCCGTTTGCCAGATCACTGTCAAAAAAGGCTGCCCACAAGGTTATGCGTCCACGTGAAGCAGGAAGGAGCCTCTGAAACATCACAGGCCTACACAGTATTGGCGATGTGACGACTCTTGCGGCGGCGGACATTACTGGTGAGGCATGCGAGTAGTATGTGGTTTTCCGGTAACTCCGCCCCCTCCGTCTAATGGAAGCTGGAGTGCATTACAGAACCTGTGTAAATGCTTTGCAGCGTTCATTTGCAATCGCGTGATAGTCAATGAATATCCACGAAAGTTCAAGAAGAGGATGTTCAGTTTTCTTTTTTTTAAAAAAGGTGCATATGAGTTGGTTAGTTTCCTGTCCAATAGATTGTACCGATTTGTTTTTTTTTCTAATAAACAACTCCGCTTTTCTCCTTACAGCTGAGTCTACAGAATGGCCACCAGAGACCGATGGCTTCCATGAAGAAGTACCTCTGTCCTGAGGTAGACTTGTCGCTCTCATTCCCAAGAGAACGTACGGATAATGGGAGACATGCCTTCAAAGTCGTCTAAGCAAAGGAGAGGGTTTGCTCAAAAAATTTACATACTTATACATTAGTGCTGAACCCATTTTGATTTTAAAAAGTGATTGGAACAGCTGCAGAAGTCTAGGACTGAATGACATACACGTACGTCGGTTGTTTTAGGAGAACGCAATTTCGCGCCATTACGGAAGAAACGTTTTGAATTCAACGACGCCCGGAAGCGTTTGCTGTTACGCAGGATACCGCCTGTATCCGTGGCCACGAACCTCTCTCATGCCACTTCACGTCTATTGAAGTAATTGCTCTCAATATCCAGTTGTTGGGATCTCATACACAGTCACATATTACTGAAAGCAGGGCGGTTTGCCAAGTCAGGTGTGATTTGAGTCTCGTCTTGAACTCAAACTCCAAATAAACAATATCCGGATTGCCTTCGAGTGATGTTACTTAAGACCGGGTCGTACAGTGTTGTGAACGTGAAGCAGAACCAAGTCAGTGGCATACCGATTTGGTTATCACGGGAGACCCAAATGAATCTCTCTCTCTTTCTTCAAATCAATGTGTT